CTGATCCCCAGTTTAGCCCAGGAAGGGCTCCTGATCCCCAGTTTAGCCCAGGAAGGGCTCCCGATTCCCAGTTAAGCCCAGGAAGGGTAAAGTTAATTTAGCGGCGCTTCATAGTACAAATATACGATGACCCAAAATATACAGCAAAAGCAACCCAGAAGTTTTTTAAGGTAAAAAAGTGGGATATTCTGCAATGGCCAAGTCAATCTCCTGATCTCAACCCGACTGAGCATGCATTTTACTTGTTAAAGACAAAAGTAAAGGCAGAAAACCCCACAAACACACAACAACTGAAGTCAGCTGCAGTAAAGGCCTGGCAAAGCATCACAAAGGAGGAAACCCGATCTTTGGTGATCGGGTTCCAGACTTAAGGCAGTCATTGCCTCCAAAGGATTTTCAACTAAATATAAAAAACTGAACATTTTATTTATCATTATATTTATTTGTCCAATTACATTTGAACCCCTGAAAATGGGGGACTGTGTATAAAAATGGTTGTAATTCCTAAGCATTTTATGTTATATTTTTGTTCAACCCACTTGAATTAAAGCTTAAAGTCTGCAATTCAATTTCATCTTGATTGTTTCATTTTAATTCTATTCTGGTGGCATACAGAGCCAAAATTATGAAAATTGTGTCAGTGTCCAAATATATATGGACCTGACTGTATATACACTGCTCAAAAAAATTTAAGAAACACTCTCAAAATAACATCAGATCTCAATGGGGAAAAATATCATGCTGGATATCTATACTGATATGGACTGGGTAATGTGTTAGGAACAAAAGATGCCACATTGTTTGATGGAAAGGAAAATGATCAACCTACAGAGGGCTGAATTCAAAGACACCCCAAAAATCTAAGTGAAAAAATGATGCATCAGGCTAGTCCATTTTGCTGAAATTTCACTGCAGCAAATCAAAATGGTACTCAGTAGATTGTATGGCCCCCATGTGCTTGTATGCATGCCTGACAATGGCGGAGCATGCTTTTAATGAGATGACGGATGGTGTCCTGTGGTATTTCCTCCCTGATCTGGACCAGGGAATCACTCAGCTCCTGGACAGTCTGAGGTGCAACCTGGCAGCATTGGATGGACCGAAACATAATGTCTCAGATGTGTTCTAATGGATTTAGGTCAGGCAAGCATGGGGGCCAGTTAATGGTATCAATTCCTTCATCCTCCAGGAACTGCCTGCATACTCTCGCCACATGAGGCCGGGCATTGTCGTGCACCAGCATAGGGTCTGACAATGAGTCCAAGAATTTCATCCTGATACCTAATGGCAGTCAGGGTGCCATTGTCTAGCCTGTAGAGGTCTGTGCATCCCTCCATGGATATGGATACTGTGCTGGGAGACACAGCAAACCTTCTGGCAATGGCACGTATTGATGTGCCATCCTGCAGGAGTTGGACTGCCTGTGCAACCTCTGTAGGGTCCAGGTATCTCCTCATGTTACCAGCAGTGACACTGGTCCTAGCCAGATGCAAAACTAGTGAAAAACAGTCAGAAAAGATGAGTAGGGAAAAATGTCAGTGGCCTTCAACTGTAAAGCCATTCCTGTTTTGGGGGTTGTCCCATCTAGTGCACCTGTTGTTAATTTAAACAGGTTCCACTCAGACTCCATGTCTCCAGCCTCCCTAGGGATGAAGGAATACTTCCTCCAGAGGTGGAAGTTAAAAATCTTCTTAACAGGATCTTCTGCCAAATGTTCCTATTTCCCACCTACTATTTGTTTGAGTTTATTATGGCCAATCCATGATGAGAACAAATGTCCAACAACAGAACACAGCTCAGGTTCAAATCAAGTAGGCCATTCTTCCCAGTCACTCCTCTCTGTCATCACCAACATTGCCGTTAAAGCCTTTGGTCTAAGCCTTTGCTTTTGTCTAAGCATCTCCTTGAAGGTGATGAACCCACAAGGAGGTTAGTAAGCCCCATGCTGTTAGTTCAGGTTGAGCCTGACTTGGCCCCATGGAGCACCATGATTAAGGCATTACACACATATTACAATTTAATAATAGTGTAATTCTTCAGATTCTGCTTCCACAGACATGTCACAACTCCCAACTGAACAAACAACACATACGAATGAATTGAGTACCTGACTTGCAGCAAAACTGGCTTTAAGTGTCATCACTGCTGTCTGCCTCTTCTTTATTAGCTCCTTCCTCCTCTCTTCTGCCTCAGCCTCTTTCTGTTTCATCCTAGAACACAAGAGCTCTAAGAATAAGTTATATATTTCATTCTTTTGAATACACCATATAAAATTTTAGACTGGCAACTAATATGAAATCAGAATAATAAAAGTTGTAAATATAAAATAAAATAAATATAAAATAAAATATGCTGTAACTACCTCTGTAACGTCTGTTTGAGGTAGACAGCCACTTTGCGATGGCTAGCAAGAGCCTGTTGCTGTTGTTTCCTCTGAACATCCAACTCCAATTGTAAAGCCTTGTTATATTCTCTGTCACATGGAAGATCACACAAACAACATTGTTGTCTGAAAAATTAACAAACATTAAGAAATTTTCAATTAAAAGCTTTTTAAGTGGTGTTTGCCCACATACATCTCGCCTCTGTGATGCCAGGTTCTGTAGCTGTACTGTTGGGTTACTAAAAAAAAAAAGAGGCCATTCTCCTTGTTGGCAGTAGGTTAAAGACTATTTACTTTGTGTAAACTTACAATAAGTAATCTGCCAAGATAATTTTAAGTCAGAAGAGTCAAATAAGAAATAAAAAATAATTTTTTTTTTACTTAAATTGTTCTTTTGGTAAAGAAAAATAACAAATAGCTTCCTATATGAAATAGTTTCCTTCCTAATTGCTTTAAGGCTCTTTGGTGTCTACTGTAAATGCAAATATGTTCACATTGCATAGCCTCCTTTGAAAATGTATGGAATTTTTTTGCCTGTTTTACTGTACTTTCCATCAGGTAAAAATTCAACAACAAGCCTAAAAGTGACTTGACGTAAAGTGTTAAATGGATCAGGGCAGGCTAAGTTATTTGTCTACGTTCAAAGAAAACTGCTGGGTATGTGATGAAAGCTTTATGTACCGTATTGACCCGAGTATAAGACGATGTTTTTTTCTTGGAAATGCATCTGAAAAAACGCGGTCGTCTTATATTCAGGGTCTAGACTTTGACATATCAATAATACATCCACAACAATAGGTGGCGCCAAATACGCATAAAACGAGTGTGCCATGAAATACGTAATGTAATGCGTGTTGTAAAGATCGCGAGAAAACATTACAGCTGCATGAACATTAGCCTGATGGGACCAAACTCTCTTTGTGATTTTAAAACGTAAGATACATTTTACCAGTTTTTACCATACTTTCAAAACAAAAATTAAAATAGGAAAAATATGCAATATGAAAATAATTGAAGACAAAATGTGTTTTACTGAGAAAAAACAAGATTTGTTTTTTAAAAAGCCTTTTTCCAAAAGGTACATCTGGAAAAAGGGGGGTCGTCTTATAATCAGGGTCGTCTTATATTCGGGCCAATACGGTAATTGTGTGACACATTTCATAATAAATTTACATTTTGTCATGTTGTGCTTTATGTCTACGTTCTTTGATAACATGCTTCTCTCGTTGGAGTCTGAGCTTTTGTTTCTTCTTGTCCTGAGACTGGACGTTCTTCTCCTCCAGCTCAAGCTCTTGACGCAGAGACGAGAAGCGGCCCAGTTCTACTTCCACCTGACACAGCTCCAGCCTGAAAAGAAGGGCCAATTACAATCTACATTCCCAACAACAGTATGTATATTAAGGGCTTTCAACTATGATTTGTATATTAAATCATGCAGTGTAAAAAAAGGAGTTTGATAAACATTGTATAATTGCATGACTGCAACAAAACTTAAAAAAAATACAACATCATACCCAAGACCTCACTAACATACAATCACCTATTCAATCTGTGTTTTGGGTGGTTCTTTGCCTCCATGTCATGCATTAAAATAATTTAATGCACAGCTAGCCATGCATTGTCCCGTTTATACCAAGGTAATTTGCCAGCATTGACAAGTTAGAACAGTTGATGTTTGCAGCACACTATTTGACTGGAAGGGTAAAAATGCTGGTTATTTTTGTCAGTTACGGCTCATTAGATCCAGCATTCTGCCCGCTTTATAACAGACACAAAGATGAAGTAGTGTGTTAAGATCACATTTATTTGAATGAAGTTTAGCATTTATTTGAATTAATTACTGAAAGAGAGAGAGAGAGAGAGAGAGAGAGAGAGAGATGAAAGTTGTGTGTGGGAATTACCTGCGTCTGTGTGTATCTCTCTACAAACAATGAAGATGTGAGTTTAGTTACTTCAAAAACATCGTGTGTTCTGTGCTGTGTGCATGCAGCAAGATCTCCGATCTCTGTGTGCGTGCGTTTGTGTGCGTCAATTAAAGGGTTAGTTCACCCAAAAATGAAAATTAGCCCATGTTTTACTCACCCTCAAGGCATCCTAGGTGTATATGACTTTCTTCTTTCATACGAATCCAATCGGAGTTATTAAAAATTATCTTTGCTCTTCCAAGCTTTAGAATGGGAGTAGGCAGGTGTTTTTTTTTTCAACTGTCCAAAAGACGTCAAATAAAGCGAGCGCATCCATAACAGAATTTAGGATAACTATATAAAAGTTTACTAACATTGAACTAATTTTTAAATCCTTCAAAGCACACTTTTAGGAAATACAATAATAAAAGTCCTCTGTATATTTTTTGCAGTAGTATACTTTATTTCAATTCACTAAAAATCCATTTAAATCTCAGTGGTATTTAGTATACTTTTGCAATTGCACTGAAGTATTACTGAAGTAGAAATATACTTTTAATTAGTGTATTTATAGTGTATAATTTTGACAATTTTATTTAGCACAAAAAAAAAATAAGAATGTACTACAAATGTGCTTGCTGGTATTTAAGTATTTTTTAGTGCATTCAAGTATACTTTTTTCCTGGGATGCTTTGAGGGTAAGTAAAACACGGGCTAATTTTCATTTTTGGGAGAACTAACCCTTTAAATATAGAATGGCGATTAAACTGACTTGGAACTACCTGTGCATTAAAGTTTTAATGCATACCTGCCAGCCAATTAGAATCGAGTATTCAGAGAGAACCGGTATAATATGAACTACTATATTGGAAGAGGCTCATAATAATGAAGTATTAACTACATTGAAGAACTGTGCTGAAGTTTATCTGGCTTTCTCCTCCTTGTCCATAAGATTCTGCTGTGCCAGTTCCACATTTTGCATTTCGGAAGACAACAGTTCATCTGTGTTTTAATCTGTTTTTTTTTTTTCTGTCATGCAGTGTGCAAAAAGCCTTCAGAGCAAAGTAGTTGTGCCTTGGTTCACGTGACTACAGTGTCATGGTTACAACAGGTTGTGTACCCATGGTGTATGCTGGGCTCTTCCATTATGCTGTGTTCTGTATTTTATAACAGTGTGTTTTAAACAATAGTTTTTCTTGCTCATGTTCTGATACCTTCTGAGCACAGGAATTGTGCCTTAGTTTTCAATAGGGGTGGTTATGGGCTGTCAAGCATAAAGAGGGATAATTAATAATCTTTTAATAAACAAACAGGGAGAAAACAAGAATATTGTCACGTTTCGCTACTGTGAGGAGCACGGAGACGAAGGAGCAAGGGTAGACATATACAATTCCGGACGAGGGAGAACAGAACGGGCTAGAACTCAAATAGGGCAGATAACGAGGGGCAGACAGATGAGGAGGATCATTAATAACAAGGAACACCTGGAATTAATAGAACTAAATGGGGACAGGAACCAGAAGGACCAAATAAGGGCAAGGAAGGCACATGGGGAGCAAAGCACACACAAAACAAGGAACAGAGTCTGACAAATATAGAGTAGACGGTATAAAGTAGACGGTGGGAGGAGCCAGGAGAAGACCCAGACTTGACCCCAACGAATTAAGTAATTACAGAGCGATCTCGAATCTCTCTTTTCTGTCAAAGATACTAGAAAAGGTAGTTGTAACACAGTTTTTGTAGTTCGGGAAGAAGGAGATGGGAACCAGCGAACATTTAAACAATTTAATAAAATAAACAAACACAAAATAGTGCGACAGCCCCTCGCGGACGATTGTCGCGCACAAATAGAACCAAAACACAAAATAAAATCCAGGCCTGGTCCTCTCTCGTCTTTCACCGTCGTTACTCCTCCTTTTTATCCTTCTGGAGCTCCTCCGTGAGACTCGAGACCGGTGAGTGGCGCAGGTGTCGCTCATTAGCAATTACTCCACCGGCCTCGCTCCGTTCCCACGGCTCTCGGCCCCGCCCCTCTCGTCACAGTAGTATCATCATAACTATATTCCTTCTTAAAGAAAAATGGTATCTGTGAGGATTTCCAGTCAGGATTTAAACCGTATCGTAGTACTGAGACTGCTCTCATTAGAGTTACAAATGACCTGCTCTTATCATCCAATCGTGGTTGTTTCTTTCTATTAGTGCTACTGGCTTTTAGCGCCGCGTTTGACACTATCGACCAACATTCTTTTGCATAGACTAGAAAATTATGTTGGCATTAAGGCCACACACCAAGCTGACTTCAAAGAACTAGCGGCGATGAAAGCCGATGGTGTTGTCGCCTAGCGTCAGCAACGTCGGACCAAAAAGCTGCGCTTGAACACACTGCTCAGACTACAGCCGACTGCAAACTAACACGTGTCTTCTGCGCCTGCCTGAGAGGAATTAGCTGTCTATATCAGCAGCTATCCATAGTAAATATTCATAATTCAAAAGGAGAAACCGAAACAATGATATAGGAGATATATGAAGATATATGAAACGTAAACAAAGCAGCACTTTCTTACCATTTAGAATATTAGTTATGCTGATAACTTTAACATTTTAAGCGGCTCATATGCTTATGAAAATATTTGCATATTGGAATGCCTGGGTAAGATCACATAACGTAAGAACAGCCTTCTGCCAGTGCTGCTTTCATTTACTTTCTCGTTTTAATTTCTTTCACTTTAATTCTTACACCGCCGTAAGCTCGACGAGAGCCGCCAAGTGGAACACACCAAACAAACTAGCCTGACAGACGCTCACCGACGGCCTGATGTTGGCCGACAGCTGACCATCGGCTTGGTGTGTCCCGGCCTTTAGAGGAAGTGCATTGGCATGGTTCAAATCGTACTTATCTGACCACCATCAATTTGTGGCAGTGAATGAAGAGGTATCATACCAATCACAAGTGCAGTATGGAGTACCTCAAGGCTCAGTACTAGGACCGTTACTTTTCTCACTCTACATGTTACCCTTGGGAGATATTATTAGGAAACATGGTGTTAGCTTTCACTGTTATGCTGATGATACTCAGCTCTACATTTCTTCGTGGCCCGACGAAACATACCAATTTGCAAAACTAACGGAATGCATAGTTGATATAAAAAAACTGTATGACTAGTAATTTCTTACTGTTAAATTTTTAAAACTAAACAAAGGTGTTAATTATAGGACCAAAAACATCCACATGTAATAACCTAGAACACTGTCTAATACTTTATGGCTGCTCTGTCAATTCTTCGTCATCAGTTAGGAACCTAGGTGTGCTATTTGATAGCAATCATTCCTTCGAAAGCCAAAATGCAGCAGCTAGAGTTCTTACTAAAACCAAGAAGTATGACCATATTACTATTAGCCCAGTTCTGTCAACACTGCACTGGCACCCTATTAAACATTGTATACATTTTAAAATCTTGGGGGACAGCGGCCCACGGGGGAATCGCCGGAGGGAGAAGTCATGGTGGAGAACCAGGGAGCCGTCTGGCGGAGAGGAAGAGGAGCCCAGGACGGAGAACTGCAGAGCCAGGGAGACACCGAGGATCGGGAGGGTCAAGGCGGAGCTGATGGCTCAGGTGACCGAGGCAGAGGTGGGGATTCAGAAGACAGCGGCAGAACCGGAGCAACATAGGACCAAGGTTAAGCAGGAGGAAAGGAGAAGGGTCGATGACTGACCAAGGCAGAGCCAGAGGGACAAGGGAGCACGGTGGAGCCAGTGGGATGACAGGCCACAGTGGAGATGAAGGAACTAGGAGCCAAGGCGGAGACGATCGGTCAAAGAACCGAGGTGGAATCCAGGCCTCGGAGGCTGGAGGCAGAGACTGGGGATCCTCACACCTAGGTGGAGCTGGAGACTGGAAGGCCCGAGGCGGATCAAAGCACCCGGATGGCACTGACTGAGGGTGAGCTCAGGGACTGACAGGAACCAGTGAAGACAGGGCTGAGGAACTGGCTGGCTTTAGGAGAGGAGGCAACAGAGGGAGGCTGGGAGGGAACACAGGTGAACAGTAGCTTAGAACAGTGTTTCCCAACCTTTTTTTAGTCGCGGCACACTTTGGAAATTTTAACAAATTTGTGGCACCCTACAAAATTGATTTCGTCACAATACTTGAATTTCTAACTTCGATATGATACTTTGAAAGGTATAGATATTCGGTACAGCAGGGAAGAACTGCAGAATATACTGTCATACAGATATTTTTAATATTATTAAAAAAAATGTGTCCATCAATGGTGGCAATCAGTAGGCTAATTTCTAATGAAGAGACCAATTTATATGACAGATTTTAATGTAGGCTTTTATTCATATGTAAACATTGTTTAATTACCATTATAACTAGCTATCTCACATATTTTTGCTCACTCAGTGTATTTTTGATTTTACAGTGGGGTAATTTTGTTGCA